AAATCTCTTTACATGTTGTTGTTCCTCAAAGATGTATAATCTTCATCAAACATGTTAGCAAAAGCAACAAAAAAAAGTGTTGCAAATTAATATTTAACCCAGGAAAATAGATAAAACACCATTCATATTCGACCAATTACAGCGGAGATAAGTAGAGTGAATAAACAGCAAAACAGGTCTAGTTGGAGGTTGAAACCAGAAGGTTGTTCCAATAATCGTCTTTAACCACTTTGCTTCCTTCTCCAATCAAAAAACCCTCCTGAATTTTCGAAGAGGGTTTAAAAAATTTGTGGTTTTTAGGAAACATTATGCATAGTGTATAAAATAATAATAATAAAAATAAGCCAGAAAATTTAAATTTGCTTCTGTATGATTTCAGCAATAAATTTAGCCGTTTTAACTTTTTTTTTAAGTAGCACAAAAAATCATTCAGTAAATATATATACATATATAAGTTCAAAATGTAGAGAAAACAAGGGTGAGTATAAAATGTTACACAAAGAGTAAGATGCAAAGTAAAGAAAAAAGTAAAGTATGGTAAAGGTAAAGTAGGGTAGGGTAAAAAGGGCTAAACAATTTTAGCCACGGATTGGCCCGAAATGGATTTGCACATGGAAAAAATTAACAAAGAAATTTTTTAGTAAATAATTCTGGCCACGGATTCGGGAAAATCCGTGGCTAAAATTATGCGGAAAACAGGCCATTCATGTTTCTTTCTCTTTTCTATTTTATATATTTTTTTCTTAAATAAATATTTATTTTCTAAAATTATTTATTGTCAACTTCTTTAAATTATTCAGTATAATATTACCTCGCGCACCTCCATTTTTGGGTCCAGCTTTGGTAACTAACAAATCAAATGCACTTCAGTGATGCAGCAAAAACGCACTTTAATACAAAACTCCCCTAGTTACGCTTTCAGCTCAATTTACGCTTTTGTTTTCATTTTTTGCAATCTCGCAATCTCGTTACGAAAATAATTTAAATCATTCTTAAAAAATTTCCCGTTCATGTAAGTTCATTTGAATTTGCTATTCGCTTTACAGGTTTCATTTCATGTTTTATTGTTTTTTCTTTACATTTTATTTTCTCTTTTTACGTGATATTTTTACTTATTGTGTTCTGGCCTCGGATTCGGGAAAATCCGTGGCTAAAATTATGCGGAAAAC